AACTGCCATTCACTGTACCTACATGGAACAAAGATTTTGTGGGGGCACTGTACACAGGGACCGAGATGCTCTCAGATTTAGGGTAGAAGAACATATCCAACATGGGACCTTGTCAGTTTCTCTTTCATACTTTTAAATACAGACTCAGCCTGTCTATAGTGATGGTCATGTTCCATGCACTTCACAACCATCTAGTTAATTAATCATCACTAGAGCTTTGGGAAGTGGTTAAGTATTATCCCCATTTACTTACAGGGAATCTGAGGCACAGAGGATGTATCACTTGGGGATATTCCCTCTAGATTCCAGATCAGATCTCTGGAACAACCAAAGACAAGGCCAGTCCTGCCCCAAATTCCATCCACTGAGCCCAGTGCATCCTGGGACAGGACTGTGGGCCTTTAGCCAGTGCTATATGAATACCCATCTAGTGCACAGGGGATCAATGAAGCCCAGAATCATTTACTAGCTAATGAGGCTCTGTACTTTGATTTAAGGAGCTCCTAGAAACACAGGTGACTTGCCCAGTTGAGTGCTCAGACCTCCCACTCCTGTACAGAGCTCTAGAATGAAATCTCTTGCCATTGTTGCTGGGAAACTTGGGAATGACAGGCTGCATTTCTCAAGCATGCTGCCTGTGTTTGGCCTCAAGAGTCTTTTCACTACTGATGTAGGAAATATTTATTCTCTCCCCCCACCTGTCCCCAAGTGCTGCTTGGTTTTGCTAATTTTGTTCTATTGATCTAAGACAAGATCAGCTCAGCCCAGCACAGATAAATGGAAAGAAACTATGATAGAAGCAACTGCATTATGGAAAGGAAAGCTACTGCAGCATAATGCAGCCAGTGGAGATACTTTTCCAGGCATCCCAAGGGATGGGCAAACTCATCGGCATGTGGCTGAGTCACTCAATGGGACTGAGACATCCTGAGCTTTGCAGCAGAAGCCTAGACATGGGATAGTCCCTGATAGGCAATGACTTCACAGGTTCAGTTCTACTGGAGTGCTCTCCCCTTCTAAAGAGCTTAAACTGACACAATTTTGTTCAGGATTTTCTTGTTCTCATGCAAAAACAGCTGGTAATTTATTATGTGTATTAGAGTAGCACCTTCAGGCCCCAGCTGAGAAGGGTATCCCACTGTGCTAGGAGCTGTACACACACACAAGTAAAAAACAATCCCTGCCCCAAAGAGCTAACAATCTAAATGGACAAGACAGTCACAGAGTGGAAGAAAGGGAGTGTTATTTTCCCAGTTATAGAGGTGAGGGAGCAGAGGTGCAACAACATGGTAATGCAGTGAGTCTGTGGCAGAACTGGGAAAGGTACCCTGATCTTCTGAATTCCCACGCACTGCCTTAACCACAAGGCCACCCTTGGTATCTCTAATGCCCAGGAAGTTCTAGCCTGCTACACACGTGGTTTGCTGGGGCAATACCAAGAGGAGGAAAGCACAGCTCCTTTTTTCCATAGGTCCCACAAAAATGGCTGCTATTTATTTCGAGTAGAGCATTTCCACCCTTCCCCATTACTTTTGCTATAGCAAAATGGTGGTGGCAGATAGACATTATTGGACCTTCCCCACTAGGTGGCTATAACTAGGCTGGGCAGTAGTTGGTAAACATCGACTTTATCTGACACACAGAAATAGGGTGACTATTTTCTCAAAGGGAAAACGGGACACTGCACAGGGCCAGCCTGAGGCCCCCTGCCCCTGCATGAGCCTCCTCCCAGCCCTCCTTGCCACCCACGTGGGGCCAGCCTGAGGTCCCCCTCCCCTTCCTGAA